AGTGGACTTCAACTCCCAGAATTATGGGAGTTGAAGTCCACTCATCTTAAAGTGGCCAAGTTTGGACAACACTGACATAATGTGTGAACACCTTCCCCCCCCCCCCACCATGATGAGGCAGCAGAGCAGGATTTGCGGGGGCGGGGGCTTATTTCAGAACAGATATTAATCTTTCTCTTCCAGGAAAGGAAGCAGGAAAGAAAGGCAGATCCCTTTGCATTCTGGGCTACTTAGGCCTATGGCCTGATCCAGCACTTCTTCCATTTTCTTACGTTGCTTTTGACCTCAGCTCTGCAGGACTCAGAAAATGTGTTTTGTTTTGAGCTCAAAGCCAAGCTCTCCATCCAGAAAATTCTGTTGAATTTCTGAGTTCTTTGGCAGAATAAAACCTGAAATGATTGAGGTGTTCCAGATTTCATCAAAACTCAAGAGTTTTGAATGTTTTGGCCAGAGGAAACAGTGGGGACTCAGAACTAGCCCTTTGAGCTGTAAACATTGGGATGACCAACAGATGGCAGCAAAGATAAACAGAAAACTTTTTTTTTAATAAATTTTTATTAGAAGTTTTAAAGAGAACATAAAAACTACCACAAATACATAATAAAGAAAACCAGAAAGAAAAAGAAAGCAGAAGTGCAAGAAGAAAGACTAAAATGAAACAGAAAGAAGCTTCCAATTTCCTTTGCAGTAAATGCAGGTATGATTACAAAGTTATATCTTACTCTATGATTACTTTCATTATGATTACTTTCTGCTTATGATTGTTCTATGATCCATTTTTTTCCTAATCATCAAAACCACAAGTCATAAGTGCATTTTTTTCTGTTTCATGCAAAAAGTCTATAAGAGGCTTCCAGTCAACCATAAATGTAGATAGTCTTATCTGTGATTGAGGAGGTTAATTTAGCCATCTCTGCGAGTTAACAGAATATTATATTCTATTATATACTATATGCTCAAATGTGGAAAGGTTCGACATTACCCACAATGAAGGAATGCCATTTTTTTCCTAATCATCAAAACCACAAGTCATAAGTGCATTTTTTTCTGTTTCATGCAAAAAGTCTATAAGAGGCTTCCAGTCAACCATAAATGTAGATAGTCTTATCTGTGATTGAGGAGGTTAATTTAGCCATCTCTGCGAGTTCCATCATCTTCACCAACCATTCCTTCATTGTGGGTAATGTCGAACCTTTCCACATTTGAGCATATAGTATATAATAGAATATAATATTCTGTTCTATTAGTATAATAGTCTTGCTGCAGTTGAATAAATAAAAAACTCTTTTTGCTGCCATCTTGTGGTCATCTGGATAGCTGCTGTCCATCTACCCCTAGTTATCCTTGAACTTGCCTTGTGGGTGTTCTAATTGAAGGGCAGGTGAGAAGAGAGATGACTGTTCTTGATCTTGCCCAAAGATACAACCCTTTCAAGTCAATTATCTATTAAGGGGTTGCTTTCAAACTGTTTTAGAATAAACCTTGTCTAAATGTACGTGGTCTCTGTTGAAACCTAACCTTGCAGAAATCAGGAATGTGGATGGTCTCCTTCCATCCCGGTATTTAAAAGCTCACTGGTATTGTAGATTTACTATTTTGTCTTTTCTTTCTGATTGCAAAATATCAACAAAAATTATTAAGAACTGCAGCTTCTGCCTGGCAGAACGAGAAAACTAAGGAAAAGAGAAGACAAGGATTTCTCCCCATCCTGGAAAGCAAATGCCTAGTTGTCAACATTTGCATGGTAAATATCAAGGACACTGATTGACAGAACAAGAGTCATCTTGTGTCATGCACAGATCCTTGCTTTTATGTTCAACATGCTAAAGGGACAGATTGAAGAAATCTCAAGTGTGCCACCTGCTCCCTGGAGGCAGCTTCAGACATTGTCCAGGCATTGTGCTGTTTAGGAGCAGTTGTCTTACCCCTACTTGGCAAGACAGCCTGCCTATGGCCACCAGAGGTGGGAAGGACATCTGGAAGGGACCCAAAAAGGTGTGCAATCATCCCCAAAGATGGTAGATGAAAGAGACCCTTTCTTCTGCTGACCAGGCCTTGCAGTGGTTATAGACTGCAAGAAAGATTGTAGAACAGCTGTCAACCTTTGTTTGAAAACCTCTAGTGATGGAGCACCCACAACTCTAGGAGGCAAGTGTTCTGCTGGGTTTCAGAGTCAGGAAATTCCTCATGTTATGTTTGAACCCATCTGTAAAGCTTCCACCTACTGGTTCTTGCCCTACCCCCAGGCACTATGGACACCCCCCCTCTTCCCTGGGCAGCCCTTCAAGTATTGGAAGACTGCCATCATGTCTCCCCTTATCCTTCCCAGCTTCCCCTTCCACCTTCAAGCTCAGCACAGAGCTCCCGTGCTATGTGCCCCGGAGTCTGCAGAGTGCTCATTTGCATACCGATGGGTCTACTGGTGCTTCTGGGTCACTACCATTGAAAGAAGCCATGGATTCAGATTGAGGAGGAGGCGGCAGCAAACCTTGATCAACTCTCTTTTAATGGGATCACCTCTCCTTCTGTAAGAAGATACAATTTGGAGAATGCATCCACCTGGCCCTAACTGGTTGGCATAGCATTTTTTCAAAACAAGAGAAACAGTTTTGGGTAGGATTGTAATACATTTGTTTTGTGTGTGTCTGTGCCACGTATTCAGCAAGCAGCAGGATTATAGGTAGTCCTCAACTTACAATCACAATAGGGACTGGAAAAATTTGTCGTTAAGCGATGTGGATCATTAAATGAGGCATTATGTGACCGCACCCAATTTTCCAACATTTTTGCAATGGTTGTTAAGTGAATAACCATGGTCATTAAGTGAATCATGCAGTTCCCCATTGATTTTGCTTGTTGGAAGCTGGCTGGGAAGGTTGCAAATGGCGATCATGTGACCTTGGGACACTGTAACTGTCATAAATACATGCCGGTTGCTAAGCACCTGAATTTTGATCACGTGACTATGGGGACGCTGTAATGGTCATAAGTGCAAGGATCAGTCATAAGTCAATTTTTTTCAGCGCTGTTGTAACTTTGGTCACTAAACAAATGGTTGTAAATCAAGGAGATTTGTGTAGAGAACAGATCACACTTTAGGTCATATTAATGCAGAAATACTGAAAATTCAAAAGGGTCCACTAACTTTTAAGCACCATTGTATGTGGTCACTAGGAGTTGGCACTGACTTGATGGCACATAATCAATCAATCAAATCACAGAAATGGTCCTTAACATTTGTCGTTACTCTTTTCATAGCCACCTCTTTTACTAGGTATGTGAGATGGCCCTTCTCTTGTTTCCATAAGATACTCCATTATTGCCTCTAACCATCCTTGGCTAATACCCCCAAGAAGTGTTAATCTTGATTAGGAAATCACAAGAAAATCCTGAATTAGGTTAGACTGGGAAGTTAAACAGTATTTTGTAAGAAAGCACCAGGGGATCACTTCCATCTTGTGGCTGAGAAAACCACGTATATGTTCCTGAAGTCAACGGGATTTGAGTTGGAGTCATCAGAGACCAGTTACAAGGTTCCATCCTCCATACCTCCTGAGGGTAGCATAGAAGCTGACATGTTACTGGTCAAGAGAAAACATTCCACCCACCCACCCGAGTTTTGTCCAAATGCTGGGTTCTTCCTTCTGTGTCTGCTGCCTCACAAAGATTAATAACACAATTCTTCTCATGATTCTGAGATGACATGGAGAGATCCTTTTGGCCACCCAGCACAGCTAATCAAAGCTGAGCATGAATTGCTATGTGAGCACAAGTCAAAGAGGCCCACTAGTTATCATGAATCAGGCTGTAACAAGTTAGAACTTCCTAACATGCTGAAAAGCTAAATAAATGTTAAAGGGTTTACAAGTGCATGTTATGCTACAGTTGAGAATAAAGACTAATTACTACTTATAGTCAACTTACCACCATTCATTTAGCAACCATTCAAAGTTACAATGGTGCTGAAAAAAATTGACTTATGACCAGTCCTCACACTTACGACCATCACACCATCCCCAGAGTTATGTGACCAAAACTCAGGTGCTTGGCAATTGGCATGTATTTATGGTGGTTAAAGCATCCTGGGGTCATGTGGCTCCCATTTGTGACCTTTCCAGCTGGCTCCCAACAAGGAAAATCAATGGGAGAAGCCAGATTTGCTTAATGACCATGCGATTTCCTTAATGACCATAATGATTCGCTTAATGACCGTGGCAAAAAAGGCTGTAAATTGGGTGCGGTCACGTGATGCCTCACTTAACAACAAATTTTCATGTCCCTATTGTGCTTGTTAGTCAAGGACTACCTGTAGTTATGTTTTGAAAAAGAAAAACTTATCCTAACAAGCTCATCATTGTTTTTTCCTAAATAATTTGGAGGTAAATTATATAAGGAAATGTATTAATAAGTTGGTAAGATAGATTCAACAGACGTGTGTATTCAATTCTTAAGAAAAACAATCACTGCAAATTGTACCCAGAGAATTAGCAGCAAATAGTAGTCACAGCCATTCACAGATACCAATTCTTTATACTGTGATGTAATGAGAGGCTTTATTATACTATTTAAGGCACAGAGCAGAATATGGCTAGTAGGGCACCTAGATCAATACTGTAAAAGGATATTGTTTAAATTTATTTTTGTTCAAATAAATTGTGCTACTAGGTATAAATGAAGTCCAGTAACTGTAACTTCTATTCCAGGAACCTATCCAAAAGCACACTGCCATGACTGTTAATGTAAATGTCACTTTTGGTCTGGATTTAACATATTAGCATGCAGAGATGAGCTTCTGATATCTCCAGAGCAACACATTCACATTCCCAGGGTACAGCTGCAAGTTGTGATCTGGTGCAGAAATGATATGGAGACCATTTTGCCAACCTACTTCCTGGAAACTGTCAATATTGTTAGAAGTTATACAGATGTCACATATACAACATACTATGTTAATTACTGTAAATTATATGTGGCAACTATTTAATACCTCTTTTGAAGCTAAGGTACATATTAAAGTAATATGATAGCTATCTTCAATTAGAATAAATAGTTTAACAGCTTTATAGATCAAATTTAATAAAGTGTGAAAGCTGGACATTTGGAAATACTGAGATTTAATAATGTACCGCAATGAAGATGGCATATATTCCAATGTAAGCTCAACTTGACTTATTATCTGATACCTTTATAGGCAAGCTAAGTTCTTGCTTCTAACTATGGCAAAAATCTAATGAAGCTTCCAGCACTTAATGTGGCCTAAGGTATTTGGCCTTTATTGGAAAAGAAATCAACATTTTATTTTTGATTTTATGAGAAATTGATGCTTTGGAATACTTATTTAAAAATTGAAGGTTTTTTTAAAAAAATCATGGGCTGGAAAGGGGATGATTGCTGTCATCAGTTAATATGCAATGAAACCTTAAAATTTTTTGAAAAACAACAAATGGAATAAAATTGGCCACAAAAGCTGAATAGCAATATATTCAGTTAAAATGATATGTTCCTTGTTTGACCCTGACCCTTCAGCAGCCTCTGAAATGCTAGAAATGCTGCATTGGAGAAGATTTTTATAGAAGCTAAACAAACATTTTCATTACTATAAAAACAAAAACAAAAAAACAACTCTCAACAACATTATAAAAGTGAATTTCTATAATAGTTGGGAATACAAACCTTAAAAATTCAGCTAGTTCAACAAAAATATATTCCAGTGTATTGGACTTCACAGTGGATGTTCTAAAAAGTTGGCTGTCATCTTTTTAACACTAGAGCTGTAATAAATTTGAAGGAATACAGAATTAGTGTGTATGCTTTCGGCATGTCCATTTCGGCATGTAGTTCTTTATTGATAAGAGATTAATACTTTTATGGACCAGGTTCTTGGAAGGAAGTTAAGGTTTAGAGATGTAAATGGTATGTTATATTCCCAAGATTTGGAATCTGTCAACTTATGAAGAGCTTTAGGTATATCTTTTTTCCTGATTGGCAGGAAAAAAGATGTTTTTACATGGAAAGATGTGTACCACATTTTAAAATTTGGTTCAATGAACATTTTCAGGTCTCAGCTTTTGAAATGGCTTGGTACCAACGGAGAGGCAAACTAATTCCATATGATCTAGGTTTAAAAACTAAGTATTATTTGAACAATGTTGAAATATCCCTTTTTTCTTGTCTTTTCTCATTTCTTTTCAGTTTTCACTGTTTTGTTTATCTAGTTTTTAGTCTTAACTTCATTCGTTTAAATGAAAAGGAATTTAGTAGCTTTCCTTGTGAATATTGCATCATCTTTATCGCTATGTGGTTTAAAAATCAAGTGCCACAGACTGCAAGAAGAACGGATCCATTTTTGCTAGACCACATATAGACTACCTTGGTCACATGGCGCATCGATGCAGGAAGACCATTATGCTTGGCGAGGTTGGGGAAAGGAGGAGGGGGAGACAATGAACAGCAGCACAAGAAATTGTGAGGTCTCGAACGCGGCCCCCTTTGCCCCCCCAAGGGAAAAGGGCAGGGTCCGAGCTGCAGACTGCCCACAGGGAGGGCGCGTCTTGAGCAACTGCCGCCCGACTCAGCGGCACCTCTCACGGCCAAAGGGCACGAGCGACTCGCCTACTTCGCTCGCGCGAGGGGAGGCGGCGGCGCCCTGGAAAGCAGGCCCGCCGGGCGACGGGCGGGGGGCCGGGAGGGCCCGGGGAGGGC